CTCAGCCTCAACTGACATAGGGGAATTGTAAAATATCATAATTAGAAGCAGTTTAAAGTGACAGTGTGTATTTTTTCTGGTGAGTGGGGGCAGTAGGTATCTAACTCGTTGCGAGCAAGCTGTATTTTTGTGTTGGATTAAGACCTTACTAATGGATGCCCATTACGGTCAAACAGGCCCGGGGAGTGCAAACTTCAGCAAAATAACAAGCACATCAGACTCCCTTTTATCACTGGCAATAAGTGAAGAGATAAATGTGCAAAACAACAATATTTATTATTGGTCAAAGTTTTGTAACCATCCATCCATCGTCTGAACCCGCTTGTCCATGTAGGGTCGCGGGGGGGGGGGGGGGGGGGGGGGGGGGCTATCTCCAGCGGTCAATGGGCAATCAGGCGGGGTACACCCTGGACAGAGTGCCAGTCCATCACAGGGCAATACAGAGACACACAGGACAACCAGTCATGCACACACACACACTCACACCTAAGGACAATTTAGACAGACCAATCAACCTAACAGTCATGTTTTTTGGACTGTGGGAGGAAGTCGGAGTACCCGGAGAGAACCCACGCATGCACAGGGAGAGCATGCAAACTCCATGCAGAAAGATACCAGGCCAGGAAGCAAACCCAGGACCTTCTTGCTGCAAGGCAAAAGCTCTAACCACTGTGCCACTGCGCAGCCAGTTTTGTAACCATTTGTTACAAATCAATAAATATGTTTTGTCTTCAAGCGTTTCCATAGAAAGAAACATGGCATGTAATATGGCATCGCCCAGGGACTTAGACCCGCTTCCATGTAATTTAGACCTCATTTATGGTTATATGTTACAAAGCCGCCAATATTTTTCAACAACTGGGCATCTTACTTTTTTCTGGAATAACAAGAAAATAGCCAACTCAAAACATAACAACACAATTTTGTGCTAAGCACATAAACATAACATAACATAACAATTTTAATGGTTGAATTTAATGGTGGTTAAGGAATTTGATGAATGGTTTCAACAGTTGATGCTTGATATTCAGGTGTAGTTTTTATTGTTAATTTTTGGAAATATCCATCAAAATGTTGTTGAAAATGAATGAAATGATGCCCAGTTGTTGAAAAAATATTGGTGGCTTTTTAACATATAACCATAAAAATCTGGTCTAAAATACATGGGAGCAGGTCTAAAGCCTGATTCATGCATCTCTGTGAGCCCCAAAAGGGAGAGACACACACGCTCGGACGGAGATGTTTTGCCCTCATACTTCTCCGTCTCCTGGGGAGTGTTGCAAAGCAATTCCCCGGCAGGACAACAGAGGGCGTAGCGCTGTTCTGTGGTATTCTGTCATCTATCTGGTCCAAGATAGTGTGTTTATATTGTGTTTTTTGTATATAAGACTTTTTAACACTGACAAATTTGTCTCTCATCATGCTCCACCTCTTCATGCGCTTGCCACCTCTAAACCCACATTTCCTGTCATTTCCGTCCACAAATAAAACGCTTGCTGTGCATATTTTCACTCCTCCAGTCATGGGGTATTAAACGTTCATGTTTTTAGAGTTTTTTCGCGAGGTATTCTTCAAGCTTCTCCATGTCTGCCGCTAGTTATTCTCGGCTCTATTTAAGTTTTTGAGGGTGCATTGGCAGCGGTGTGGACGACAGCGGTGCCCTGACCAATCACAAGCTTGCGTTCTCCGTCTCGACAGACGGATGTTGAGAAAAGAGAGCTTGACTCCGTCCGTCCTTGCAGAGCTCTCCAGCAGGCCCGCAAGGATGGATAATGGCATTGCATGTCTCCACACTGACGCAGACGCAGAAGCATGAATCAGGCTTAAGTCTCTGTGCGACACCATATTAAATGCCATGTTTCCTTCTACGGAAGCCCTTGAGGACAAAACACATTTACTGATTTGTAACACATGGTTACAAAACTTTCGCCAATAATAAACATTGTTTTACACATTTACCTCTTCACTTATTGCCAGTGATGAAAGGGAGTCTGATGTGCATTTTATGTTGCTGAAGTTTGCACTTCCTGGGCCTGTTTGACCCTAATGGGCATCTGTTGGTAAGGTCTTACTCCAACACAAAAATACAGCTTGCTTTCAATGATTTAGATATCTACTGCCCCCTATAACCAGGAAAAATACACACCGTCTCTTTAATTGAATGGACTCCAAAAGTTGTTCAGTTAAATAGGCAAAAACAGTATAACCTGCCTCTGCTTTCATTTTTTGGTGGCATGGTGACAATTAAAAAAAATGGGAACACATAAAACTGGTTAAGATGTTGCCCCGGAAGATGGGAAGCATACTGGGTTAACAAATCGAGAGGATATTTGGTGCAAAGATGAATCATGTTGAGATGTTCATGCATCTCTCTCGCTCTCTGAGTGAGCATTGCTTTCCCCTTGGAATCATTCTTGCGTAAGCTGAGACGTGACACGTCACTCCTCAAACAAGAAACCGTTTTTACAAGCCACATTAAACAACAAGCTCCAAAAAATAGTATATTGGCCGTGGCCAACGCTTGGGCAAAGAGCTTCTCGGAACTTGGTTTTTACAGGCTGTTTGGATATTCCCCCAACAAATCCAGTTCTATTCTTAGTGGGTGCCCACTCCCCCCTTGTTGCAATGGTTTTGTGGTTGAAGCTCGACAGAAATGAACCAGAAGCATGTTCTGGAACACATACAGAAAAAGTGAATGAACCACACATTGTTCGTTGTTACTATTTGCACAGTCATGATTTTTCCTAAAATCTGGACACCGACGTAATGGTTTCAGTCATGTCTCCCCCTTTGGGTGGTGTCAAGCCTGCTCAAAGTAACAAGGACTCAACGTTTATTGGGTGACCAGATTGTTGGGTAGTGGTGCACCGGGTACTTTTATGTTAGTGAACCACCACCTGCTCCGCAATGGGTCTCACTGCATATTTCAGTTGATTATTTCTTTGTTTTTCTAAATCACCAAATATGGACAGGGAGATGCAGGAACAAATTATTAAATTTTATCAGAATTTACACAGTATGCTTACTGCTCCCAATCAAATACAGACAAACCTATTTTCTTGTTATTCCAGAAAAAAGTAAGATATCATGCTTGAGCACCTTAATAAGAGCAGCTCTGGAAACCTGCTATGCACAGTGACATGTGTGCAGAGCATCAGCTTTCTTTGGGCCACGACCAACACTTTCACAAAGATGCAGAAACCAGCGGATGCTGCAGACTCACTGGGTAAAATCAGTTTCTCCCTCCACACATGAAGAACAAAAGAGTAAGGTGTCTGTCTGTGGATATGGAGAAGAAATCTTGTTTCATATTTAAATAAAGTATCTCAAATAACATTACATTGAAAGGAGTTACATTTTTGCATAACTAAAACATAAAGAACACCACCAGCAGCATAATGTACCATTTCTGATTCATCAAGGGGTCGAGCCGTGTAGGATTTTCTTAGTTTCCTAAAAATGGAAACAATGACTGTGATGAAATTTAGAGGACAAGAGCTGTTTTGGGTTGTCAGAAAACCACTTTAGAGTTGGACCTGTTTGAAACTGAGCGGTCAAAAGCAGCTTGTCAGAACAAGACACAACCAAAAGTGGATTGTTGTCATCTTAGAACAGCAGGAAGAAATTGCAGGTAACTTTTTACTTTAACACAGCAACACTAAATACCTAAAATCTGCATTTATAGTTTCTACGAAATGTCCATCCAGTCCTTGAATTTAGGCAAAAACATTTTAAAAAGGCTTTTTTCGTACACTGTCACCAAAAGAGAAGGCAGAGGAGAAGAAGCGAGTCACATGGGGACGTGACGGTGGATGTAATCACATGAAACACTTGTTATTCCCCAGACTGCATAGAAGAGGCCTACGCATCTTGGGACTAACCTTGCAATTCTCCTCTCCACGCCGAGCCCTGTCCCTGGGCTTTTAGAGCAGACGGGGCTGACGTAAATGTGCTCCCTGCTGCGTTATCACTACACTGCAGCCCAGCACCCCAGAGGCTACAGGCGCGATTAATGTTGTCTCTAAACCAACAAGAAAAACATAAAACCAGTGAAAAATTTGATAGTATACACTATTTCACTACTTAGCTTGTTCTATCACTCAGGACAGTTGTGTACAAAATCAAACTGTTTAGACAGGCGTCTTAGTCATTCTGACAGCTGGCCTTTAGTAAATGTCACTTGGAGCAACTTCAGCCAAAAGCTTTCAATGGTTGGCATCAAACACACCATTCCCATTAATAACAATTAGCAGGAATAGAAACAGTTCGTCCATTGTGACCCTAAAGACTTTCTTATGCTTCGGGGTATCTTAACACTGGTCTATTAGCTTAGCACTGGCACAGTGTGTGTATACGTACTTATATAATAACTCGGCACAGGGTTCACTGATTTTTTTCTCCAGCGATGGGACGTTTTTAGACTGATATTTTGATAGTTCAACCACCAGAAAACCTTTAACGCTAACTTAGAGAAGGCATGTGATACCCCTCAGTTAGACCTGTCCAGGAAGTAGAGGAGACAATCTGTACTAGATGAAGAATTCAAAAAGGAAAGGCAGGATGATCGAGTGGGGTCACGGCACTCTCCTGCATTAGCTGAGGTTTCAAGCTCCTGAAACCACAGGCTCAGCTCCACAGCCTCTTAAGCAGCTCAGGCAGTCTAATCAAAATCAAATCATCTGTTTTTTTTTTTCTCTCTCCTTCTATCTTTTGGTCCTGAGAGAATCAATTACTTCTAGAGTGTGGAGGAAACCTGGGGGTCCTGAGCTCCGTGAGCAGCAGCAGCAGCAGCAGCAGCAGCCCAAAGCTTTAAAGTACTTTTATTGGATATCAGAATTGGAGGAGAGTCCAACTAAAATAGGTCTTGCTCATTATTAGAGCCAGCTGTAGCTTTCCACACTGATGACTCATCCATTTTTCTTTCCCCTGGTTCTTTGGCTTTTTTTTTCATAGTGTGGTAAAATGGGTGGGTGTGAGGACTTCTCCTTTAGAGAATGCTTCCAAGTTGATACTGAGCCTATATCCACTGGTTATTGTTTGTTTAGATTAAGAAGGTTACCGCAGCAATGAGTGTATCTGCTCAACTCTTTACTTATGCACTCATAGCGCCACGTGGCTTCCTCTCACGTTTTAATGTCTCTCTTTCTTTCTGCTCCCCCTCCCCAGTGCCGATGATAAAAACCGAACCTAATGACGAGTATGATTCTCTGGGAACCGTTGGGCTGTCCATGCATTCAAAGACCTTCTACAGCAAGCCCAGGCTCACTTCCATCTTGCCCGTTGACGATCCTGACACCTGCCTAGTTGGTGGCTACGCTCCTTGCCCCCCTCGACATGCCACCATGCCTCCATCCTCTCCAAGCTCAAGCCCTAGTTTGCACGATCTGTCCCCTGTAACATACAGCAAGTGCCTCCCCAACAGCCCCATCCAAGAGGCCCCACCAGGCACTGTTGTGGCTCCCATTCAGGAGACCCATTGCTGCCCCAGTCTTGCTCACCCAACGTCACCCGACAACACTTCCCTAGGGATGCTCCACTCCCAGGGTAGCCCCAACCACCTCAGCAGTCCTGGACCCCAAAGTTACCACCAATCTATATATGCCAACAGCAGCTCTTCATCCTCCCCAGTCTCTCACCCCTCCACTCCCATTGGAACAGCAGAGAGTCCATTTCAAGCCTACAGTCCCAGTCAGGCCCAGGCAGCTGGCAGCTCAGCCCAAGCTGTAGGCAGCCCACCCAGTCTGCTACCTGAAGATGCCAGTCCCCCGTCAACAGCCATCACTGTCAAGCAAGAGCCCCAAGAACTGGACCAGATGTACCTAGATGATGGTGAGTAACCATGCTGTTGAACATTGAAAAAGTCATTGTGACAATGATTTCGATAAAAGGGTGAATTTAGTATTGCTAAAATAAATGGTATGTTGATGTGCCTAATAATCAAAGACTGAGAGGGCTGTTTATGGAGCGTGTTACATATTTTTAACACCTTCAGCTTATCTGAAAGCCCTGACACAAAGCCACACCCTGCTGCACCTTTCAGTATTTCCTGATGGCAGCTGATTTGCGTCACATTTGTTTAATTTTAGACCCTGCAGATGTATTTGCTTTTGATTTAACTTTCGGACCAGCTTATGTTGGGCCAAGCAGCTGCTTTACTTTAAAACTCTGGACTGCCTTGATGGGATTTTGAAACAATCTGTCAAAACATCAGAGCACCAAGGTCGGCCGGGGTGCAGCAGAACAAAAACAGTGGCACACGCATAGCGAGCCAAACTGTTGACATGACGACTAATGAAGGAAGCAAAACAATGGGTAGGGGTTTCCTGGACTTAACCATTTTCCCCCTATATTTCTGGGTGGGATGCAGAGAGGCAGGAGGCAGAAGCTTTGTTTTCCCATCTGTTCCCCACGGAGTCAACACTGTGTGGCTGTCGTCATCAGGAGAGACTGTGGGGTCACTGGTCTCCCTCTAGCAATGAAACCAGTCACGCCCAAGGGACCATATGGTTATAGCCCAATGTGTCCATTTCACATGAGGTCTCTTAGGTCAGCAACCTGTTATCTGTGTTAGCAGAGGCTCTACATGTTATGATATATATTCACGGAACGCATCACTGGCTTTCTGCCAGTTTGAAAATGGTAAAAATCCATCCCATCAGGGGTGAAGTGAAGACACCTCCACATTAAACTCAGGAGTATTACTCTTCCTGTGCACCTTTTTGTTAAGTGAGCTGATGCAGTGTGAAAGGGTGAGTGGATATATATGTTTGCTTGTGCAGTTTATTCGCCCTTCACTCAACAGCTCAGGGACCGTAGGGGTGATGGGCATGAGGGGACCAGGGGAGTTTTGCTATGGTAGTGTAATTGAGATGAAATCCAGTTGTCAGCATTTCTGTCAGTCTTGATGAGTCCCATTGGTCCTCACCTCATCAGCAGACTACACAGACAGGTCTGTTATCAGCTTTAGAAACTCACAGTAGCGTGTTTCCTAAATTTTGCAGTAGCACCTTTTCTAGAATGTGAGGAAATGGACTGCTAGGCAATACTGCCCAGTTTGAAATATGTCTCATGACTAAACCAACGACATCTTTAAGCTTTAGGTACAAAATGTATAGTACGTTTTTTTACATGCACATTTTGAACTTTGCCAAAAAACAAAATCACACAAGCTCTCTTCGTCACTTTAGCATTCTCAATCTTCCTCAAGCCTGGAGGCCAAATGTAGTCAGCCAGTGATTACAGTTGCATTAGGAACGCTCAGGAATGTGTATTGATTGAAAGAGGACAGCAAGGCAGCTCCTTCAAAACCTCATCATGCTGCCGCTTTGCATCACCTAACGTCTGCACGAGCATCTGTGGTGAGCTGCTGGAGTCCCGGTAAGTGTGTGGTGGTAACAGCATACTGCTAAGGCATCTGCTGCTCCCAGGCCTGGACCTACACCTAACCCCTTAAATGAGCTTTCAGCTAAAATAAATAAGATCGGAAGGCAGCTCACGAGGCGCCCCCGCTCCTCCGTTCACACACATTACTGCCCTGCTCCATTAGAGAAGCAAGACAAGAGGATGACCTCACCACAGTAGCGGTGATTTAACGCCAGCCGTGTGGAATAGCTCCCCTCCTCAGCAATCGGGGGTTTGGAGTCTGTGGGAGCACACTTGATCTTCCCCATGAGTGCTTTGCCTCCCACGCTCAAACACAGAGGCCTCCGGCTCTCATAAGCCAGAGGAAATGTGTCTCACAGGCCCAGCCCAGATTTTACTCAGCCCATGAGAAACCCCTCAACATATCAATGGTGAGCTACTGTACCACAAGGAACTGGGTTACTATGCAGGGAGGTGTAAAACCCCCAGACTGCCATTCACTTTCTCCATCATAAACTGTTAAACTATTCCCCTTAATGCAGATGATAACATGGGAAGAATTAGTACCAGCAATAGACTTTAAACTTGGCATTCAGTTTAACGTTAGCCTCCTGCGTGACCAATGAAGTTATCTGATGGATCTTAATACGATTCTTACCTATCAAAGCTGGAATGACACCCACGATCAGTGTGACTCAGAAAATGATGGGGAGAAGGATGGAAGCCGTCTCTGCCAGGGCAGTAGTTGCCATATTGAATCACTGTCATAAACATCTCGTGGTTGGGCTCACGTAAACCCAAAGTTTTCAGACTTCGCATAATTACTCCGAGCAAAAGCCGTGCTTTACAAGACACATGACCTAAAGACACAGCAGGCAAATGACATCAGACTTAATCAGTGTGCATTCATGTTTTCCTTGAGAACTCTGCTACTTAAGTCTAAAAATAGGAGACGCTACATTTTGTCAAGAAGTGGGTCTGATGTCAGCATAACTGACACCCATAGTCATCTACATTCATAGGCACATAAAATCACACAGTTCTGGAAAAGGCAGCCCACATCACACTTGGTAAAATAATTTTCTTGGTTTTTGTTGGTGGTACTTATTTCAGTGTGTGTGTATGTGTGTGTGTGTGTGTGTGTGTGTGTGTGTGTGTGTGTGTGTGTGTGTGTGTGTGTGTGTGTGTGTGTGTGTGTTTAGAGCAGAAGCTGTGCTGGCCGTTTGAGGCCGATGCTCTGTGTCCTGTCTCATTAGCTGGCTGTTGTGATGGGTGATATCACGAAGTGCAGTTAAACACCGCAGACAGCAAAGGAACTTGTGCTAATCAGTGAGCTAGATTTCTACCAGCTGCCTCTTTGAGAAACAGAGGGCCCTTATTCTCAAAAACAAGAAAAACACAGAGCACACTAAAGCCCCTCCTGATTTCTGACATTGCCATCTGGGCTCTGATTGCGTTGCGTTACAGCGTAGATTTCCCTGTGATTGTTTCCTGTCCAGTTCAAGCCTGTGCACTTGAAGCCCTTCTAGGTTTTTTTTTTCTTCCTCAAACTGGAAACAGAATTGTCAATGGCCCTTTTCTGCTTCCTTCCACTCAGCAAAAACAAACAAACAACAAAAAAAGTCTTTCCAACTTTCTTGAAGATATCCGTTTACTTCCGATGCTTCTGAAGGCAATTCGAGGCATTCCTCATGGAAACTTTTACACATCCTGGCATGTTGCCCAGACCCCAGGACTCCACAAAAACCCCTAATGATGATTGAGAGCGCACCCGCACCGTGCTGAAAAACATGCTGAGTCGCTAACATTGCAGTGTGCCGCGAGGCTAGATTGAAGGGGGGCTGTGAAGTTGAGGATTTTTGGGGCAAAGGGTGTTCATTAGGGGAGCTTTAAGTGTTCTGATGGGACTTGGCAAGACACAGCTGCCCTGTGTGTGTGTGTGTGTGTGTGTGTGTGTGTGTGTGTGTGTGTGTGTGTGTGTGTGTGTGTGTGTGTGTGTGTGTGTGTGTGTGTGTGTGTGTGTGTGTGTGTGTGTGTGTGTGTGTGTGTGTGTGTGTGTGTGTGTGTGTGTGTGTGTCATAGATAGAAGAATCACATGAGCAGGCCCTGTAAGTGACAGGGTGTGCTTTCACAACACTCAACCTCTGAACCTCTCTAGCCTTTAGGGAGCAGGTCAAGGTCCAGCTAATAGTGCAGAGAAAGCGAGGCTGTCTTGTGGCTAAGTGCAGTGCCTAGAACATAGTCTCCTTCCACATGTAGAGATATTGACAGGTACAAGAAAACCGTGATGGCTTTTTTATTATTTATGATCACAGACAGGATGTGGATATTTTACTGTTGTTGTTATTGCTGCCTTCTCTTATTAGGGATCTTCTTTCCTGGCAGTGTGTCTCATGGTTGAGGTATAAGTAAAAGTTTGAGCTTCTTGAAGAAGTTTTATAGCCATGGGAAAAATTAATAGGTAGGTGCACTCTTGCATTGGCCTTTGAGAGTCTTTGAGCACCAACGTTATGGATCAACAACAATACTTTAGGGATCGGCAATAGATTTGTTTCCATTTCCTCTCACTACTATTAAAAACCATTACTTCTACTGTGTGAATTGAGCAGCTTTGACTCTTATAGCCTATTCAATACATGTAGACTTTGCTAAAATGTTAAGGAGTGTGCTCTGTAGTGACTAAGTAGAGCAGCACAGATTTTGCTTATGAAACAAATTTCAGTGTTTTCTTGGTAGCTTAAACTGATTATTTTGGAAACATTATAGAATATAAAACAGATCAGAAAATCCCTTTGTAGTTTCTTACTTAGGAAAATTTAATATACCAATATTAATGAAGAGTCACACTATCAAGTAAGATTCAAGAGCTAAGAACATTTTTATGGTGACCAGGAGTGACAAGACCAAGCGGCCATTTTCTGCCTGAAAACTTAAAGCCAACACGGAGGTAACAAAATTGCAGTTCTCCCATCCAATAGGAGCTGGCTCCAAAACATCAAGTTCTTACCGACTCCGAAGTTAAAAATGGCCCACTTCACAGCAGGAATAAACGTGTTTACAGCCTGGTACAAAACACCATTTTAGGTTTATTTGGTCTAGTTCAAAGTCTTGACCACTCTGAGTGGCGTGTATGTTTTGTAACTATTCCTTTTGTTGTAATTAAATGCTTGAAATTATAAAGGTTTTGATTTTGATTGACAGGTAGCATGAGCCGTCAGAGCTAGTGCTAGCGGATAAGGCTTCAGCCTCTGCCTTGTGTTAAAAGGGTCGCCCATTACGATTCTCTGAACTTGACCATTAGCTGTGTCTCCTGTGTACTTGTGTTCAGATATTAATCGTGTAGTTATTGTACAAAGATGGCCAGCTGTGGTATTGACTGCTCCAACAGACCATCCAATAAGTCTCTCTGCTCCATTTTTATCAGTAAGTAAAATTATATTTCTGTACTTTATTCGCTGGTTGAATAG